CAAATCCCTCACATCCGCCCCGCTTTCAAGTAGCAGTCTGGCCGTCTTCTCAGCGTGACCTCGCTCGTACCTAAAGACCTCCGATGTACGCAGAGCAACAACCAGTGGAGGCAAGTGTCCAATCCTACCCAAGGACAGCCAACGTCCACCGGTAAGGCCTGCACCAGCCTCCAGCAGGGCGCGGACAACGTCTACCTCCCGACCCTCAGCTGCGATGGACAAGGCCGTCCGTAGGATCAGTTGACCAAAAGCCCCAGTCAAAGTCAGTGCTATGGACTTTACGAATGCCAACCGCGACGCGTGCCAGACCTGGTATCTCGCCTCTGCTTGGGCGTCGCCTCTCGCGGAATAATGTAACAACCCATATGAAAAGGCGTGCATACTCGGCAGACACGCAATCTCAAGGGGCGTGAAGTCCTGGACCTGAAGACCGTTGCCGTTGCACCTCATATGGTACACGCCGCCCTGCGAGAGACGCCGTTGAACCAATACAGGACAGCCGGCGCGAATGAATGCCGTAGTGGGCGAAGCTCCGATCGAGAGGAGGACACGCGCCTGGTCAAAAATGCCCATGTAGCAAGCCTCTATGAGAAGCGTGTGTCCCAAGCCGCGGTCGTCGTCAACATTGGCCCCGTGAAGAACCAGTAAGGCAGCCCAATCCGCAAAGAAGTCTGGCCGTCTTTTCTTGTTGATTGACAGATAGAAGGCATGCATCAGAGCGGTGCGGCCATCCATGTACGTCCATCTTACATTGACGTCGGCGCCAAAGAAAAAATAATTGCCAATGACCATGTAGTAGTTGTTGAAGGATAAGTGTCGAAGGAAGAACGCCGCCACCCTCAAGAAATCATGATTCATGAGGCTTGCCAGCGTCAGTCTCGTGTAGAATCGGACGAGATAACCCAAGTCCATTGCTAGCACTGTTGGCAAGACTCTCAGCAGCATCTCTTCGTCGTCGTGGTCAAGAGCCATGTCGCAGAGACGCCAATATACCCCGCGTGTCTTTCCTTCTGCGTCGAGAAGTTCAGGATTGAGTAGTATTTTCCAATTGGGTTTGTGGTTGCACAGCAAGGTGAAGGCTTCGTAGTTGGCTTGATGGACAGCGATACTGAGCGGCGTCAGACGAAGTTCGTCGGGCATTGCTCGTCGAAGGCGGTGTATTTTGACGGCCGGTCTTGTGTGACAACGCGTCACGAAAATCTCGTCAAATTCCTGGTAAAAGAACCGCCGAAAAATGTTCGTCGGACTAACAAGAAACGGCGGATAGGACAGTAGTCGACTAGCAAGTTCCATATTGCGAATCTTTGCATTCTGGCTTGCTCCCGCCTTGAGGAATCTCTTCATGAGATCAATTCTGCCGAGTACGGTGGCCCAGTTGAGTAGATAGGGGTGTCTGTCAACCACCCTTTTGTGATAGATGAGGATGCAGCAATGATAAAAGCCTTTGCACGTTCGAGATAGTGCGTATATATCATCTACTACTCGAACGTCGACGCATTGAGCAATCCTCTCGATGATTTCCATTGGAAGAGTGGATATTGACGTCGGGGCCGAGGCCGACGACGCTGTCTCAACTTGAGTGGAAGCATCACTAAGATGCTCTGCTCTCATTCTTTCTCTTGTCTGGATGTGTTGATTCGGTACCCAGTATGTTGCTGAAAGTTATAAGGTGGATGTGAAGCTCCAGGTTCCAACTTCTAGAGGGCGACTTGCGGGAATGTAATTTCTTACATTTGAATAAAACAGGCAACATTTAGTTTTCAGATCGAATAGCTTGATCATGATGTTGAAGATGGGCTAGCTGCCGCGGGGGCTGCAAGGTCTAATAAAAGCTTTATTTTGATATTTCGGAGATACCTATGGCGTCAATACCTTGAAGAAGTCGGTTTGCGGGTGTTTGAGGAACTCCATGGTTGCGTTTCGGAGATGGCTACGGTATCATCGATACGTTTAAATCACAAACAATTCCAGTCAATCAGACCATTGAGGTTGCCTTCATCGCTTCCTAGATTATCATCAACCGTGAGAGCGAGCAAGAAATAGACCGCGGCCACCTTCAAACAACAAAGCTAGGAGAGATCAACCACCTCAGCTGAGTGATAGAGACTATCGTGAATGAACGAAACAAATTGGACCATGCGAGCTGTAGTAAACTTGGCATCTACTTACATCACGATATCCTTCAAGGGCAATGGATTGCTATGGAGATAATGTGTACGTGTATGGCACACAATGGGAGCCGCCAAAATTCACATGATGTTCTTCGCCAGAACCAATTTATTCTCAGAACAGAATCACAATAACCTTCACGGCATAATATGTCGCCTGGAGAATGTCTGTCCCAACAAAACTATCACCAAATTTATCTCCGACTGGGTTCTCAACGCAGATGACTAATACCATAGCCATCTCCGTTACCATGCCATCGCACGGTCGACAAGGCAACCGATACGGATAGAGCAACATTTTGACTCAAAGGCCGTCTCATTTGGGCCAGGAATAAATTGAAAATTGTCATATGGTCAAGCTCTGATAGTACGACCGAGTACCATAGGCAGGGCGGCGGCGAGCACTCAACCCGCGGCATTATAAGCGTTCCGAACACCGAGTAACGCAATATCGCGGCAATGATGTTGACCAGTGATCCTATTCAGACAAGGGACAAGTATTTGTGGTTGAGAACTTGAAGGTAGCAAGGCAAGTCATTATAGCATCGCATCTGGGTACGGCCTGGTCTCTCGTACTACGATGGATGTCGCCGGCCCGTGAGGACTTCAAGAGTAACTGTTCCGCAACCGCCTACAGCGTCTCGTAACATGTTCCGCATCATCCACATTATAGGAACGCACCATAATACTCTCTCCGATTCAGCTTACTCTAACACCAATCTTCACACAAGATGTTGTCTTCACCTCCCATACTTGATCCAGACAGCACACCCTCCCACAAAGAAAATCCCTAACAGTATCAAATTCGTCAATACCCCTTCAACCCACCTCTTAATCGCCATCTCCTCCCTCGCCTTCCAGCCGCCCCCAGGCCCAGCGGCATTCGCGTGCGGGAACGGCACATCGGGCACCACCTTACCCAGGAACTTGCACAGAGGCTCCCATCCTTCATCGGCGGACCACTCGAGCAATCGGTCAGCGGGCACCATGCCTCGGATCATGTCGCAGTGTTCTAATACGTGCCGTTAGTCCCGTCATCCCACCAGGTTTTCCTGCCACGAGACGTGGGTCCGTTTTGTCGGCGGAGGTCTCGTAGATCAGACCACGAGCATCCACTCAAGGCCAGGCAAGACTCTTGTGACGCGCGTGCAGAAAAGGCTTGTGCTTGAAAGAAGCAATAGAAAAGGCTTGACCCCCCCAAAAGGAACATTGAGCCGACACTAAAACAGTAGTCAGGACAAGAAAAAGAAAAATACTTACCACGATAAACCCACTTGCCGTTCCTCCTAATCGCTCTCGCCATATCGCCATCCGGCGCGCGGAAGAACAAGGCCCACAAGAACCTCTCATACACGTGCCACGCCCAAAACGCCTCTCGATCCAACAGACTCGACACCCAGAAGCTCCAGCTCTCGTTCACGTGAACCAGCGTTTTGACCGCGCTCTTATGCCACGAGTCAAGGTCCCGCCGCACATTGAGCACAACTTTGGCCTCGGGGTACGCTCGGATCATCTCCGCCGCAAAGCAACTCGCCGCTGCGTCCGTCACCGCGACACAGTGGCCCAGCAGCTCGTCAAATTCCTCAGCTGTGATCTGGCAGTCGCCTTCTGATGATGTGTCATCAATCTCTCTGCCTCCTTTGCGTTTCGGCGAGGATGACTCGCCACCGCCGTACCACTTCTTCCGAGCAAGCTTCACCCATCCCGTGGCAGGAATCGGCGGGTCGTCGTAGACGATATCCCAGCCGTGATAGGTATGATCGTACCCGAGCGCAAGTAGAGCCTGCTGCAGGGACTCGGTAGCGCTGCGCGGCGGACCGACGCAGAGAACTTGCATCGGCTTCGTGCGCTTGCGCTTCGGCGGTGGTGGGATGCGGTAGACGTGGTTCTCTAGGAAGCGCCACCACCAATGGTCGAGGCTTGACATTGGCGAATGCATGGCGGCACGGTACGTTTTGTTTCGTTCCGTTTCGTTTCGTTGGCGGCAAATTCGTCTCCCGCGGTCGCTAGTTTAGTCCCGCGTCTGTCGGTTGTTCCCGTAGCTCGACCCGATGTTTCTCGCGGGTATTTCGTCTCGTTCCGTTAGTACTTCGCTATGAATTGCGAGTGTCTTTGAGCGCCGGTGATCTCAAGATTCCCAAAGACCGAAGATGAGCTGAGCTGCAGATGAAAAGAAGCCACAACCGAGCGTGCATATGTTCGTGCCGCAGACATCAAAACGTGCGACAGCTCTCGTATTATATAACAGCAGAGAGCTCTCTACCCCCAGTCAGGTCACTCCACCGAGAGGAAACAGGAGACATGTGCTCACAGACAATGGAAACGTTTTGTTGGAGACCGTCGTGCCGCCATAGCGTTTGGAGAGCTGACTTTTTCGTTTCTTCTCCTGTTACAATAAGTAGCAAGCAAGCGGCAGGAAGATTGCATGATCCATCCCTACAAATTCCGAGAACGAAGGAGGGTTACTTTACAAAACGCTGGCGCGGAAGGGGAGAACATGGGTATCGGATGAGGGGCAGAGGCACAGAAGCATGAAGGACAGCCTCCGCACGGCGCACGGCTCGGCCGCGGTGCTCTCGCCTTCCCCACATCCGATACCTCCGCAAAGCGTCAGCACTCGAGAACTAGAAAGCTTGCTTCCAGGACAGCTCTGCGTAATCAGAGAAGTGAACCAACTTGACAGACGTCTGTTTGGAACTTGAAATGCCTTGGTATAGTGTGATGCGCCGGCCGAACGAGGCGAGCCTCAGACGAACCGTGACGTGTGACGGGGCCTATACATGAACCGAGACAAGCCTGCCTTTTAGGCTGTCAACCTTCTGTCTCGGCTTCTCAGCCATGCTTGCAAACCCAGTATCCAGTCTTGCTCCCCTCTGCTGAGTCTAACGACCGCCAGAACTTGGTCCATCCAGGGCGACCGTCGCTCCGCAGGTACTCCACCTCCTTGACCTCGCCCTCGCTCTTCTGGCTCTCTGCTGTGAGAAGTGCTGTGTAGAGTGATTGATAAAACAGAACCTGCTTCTCAATCTCCACTGGCATCGCGTCAATGGGACCTAGGATGAGAGACTCCAGCTCGTCCGTGTCCACCTCACCGAGAGTGGAGATGAGGAGCGTTGTCACATTTGGTCGAGGAACCGGGACCCTACGAACGGAGCCCTCAAACGAAATGTGTAACCGACGGAGGGCAGGGAAGTTTGGCGCGATGGTTTTGATAATGTTCAGATACTGATCTCGGGGGCTCAGTGCGCGAAGCTCAGTGATTGTGGGTGCTCCAGGTGATGGCCGCGGGGACTTGTCTAACGATTTGTCGACAAGGGACTCATCACGATCCGGTATGCGTATCTCTAGCGATGTGATCCAAGTGAGGTGCGGCGTAGCGATGGCGTACGGAAAATACATAGCCTCAAGCCTCTGCTCGAACTTGAATGTGTTGCTCGCGTACAAGACCTGTATCGTCTCTTCGTAGCTGTAATTCAGTCAGTACCGGTCATCTGATGTGACACAACCGCTGTTGGCTTAGTCTCATGCGTCACGATGAACTCGCCCAGGTGCGGAGAGCAAACTCACGCTCTTCGGCATGTCAGCAGCCACGGGAGTATACCCAGATATGTCTCCTTAGGACCACACGTCTGGTAGAACCCTCTAGGGCACTGATCAGACAGTTTGGTCTCGAGCTTGCGGTCCTCGGGGCCGCACACGCAGCTCCACCAGTACCACTGCGGCGTCATACTCGCATCGGCAAAAGGCGGATCCATAGGCGACACGCTCGGTGAATGGGGGTACCAAGCCGGCACAGGCTGATGGCCTTTCCTCCATCTCACATCTGGCTGGAGGCTGCGGCGATACAGTAAGTACAGGTGTAGAATCTTGCGGCCAAAAGCCAGCTGGTAAATCTGGTAGCGGAGGTCGGATGAGAGGACCTCGAAGAACGGCCCCGCAGAGCCACCCGCACGCTTCTTCGCTTCCCAGGGCGGCTGCCGTGTCCGAATAGGCAGGGAAATCTGGTAAGAGGCCACGGCCTCGGCGTCGGGGGTTGCTTCGGCTCGGTCGTCTCCCTTGATCGACGTGGCCGGGACTGCGTCCGCATCCGGAGCGGTGAGAGGCGCGTCGCGCGGCATGGTCCGCGGTACTGTGTCGCGACCCAGGGTTGGTATTTGGAGGGGTAGTTCCGACATGGCTGCTGGGCGCCGTACCTAACGGCAGAGCAGATGGCGGCGCAGATCTTGATCAGTTTGCCCGTCTATCTGCTGTTCTTGTTGAAGTTAAGAGAGCAAGAGAGTTGCAGGAGTAAGGAAACCCAGTGAGGTAAGGCAGCAGATGGTCTTGCAGACTTGAAGTACCGCCTAAATGAACTATCTGGACGCCGGGCATGACTCCGAGAAGGTCCCGGATCGGTGCGACTGCCCTGAATTTGGCGATAAGGCGGTATTCGGTACGTACTCTTCATCAGGTCCCAGTTCCAGGAAGGTCCTCCACACAGTACGAAATTTGGCAGGGAAGAGCAGCCAGCGGGTTGACGAACGGCCATGTTACAGTGCCTAGACTGTACCCCTGAATCCTGCCACTGAAGCAACCGCAAGCGGCCTTAGGTCAAGAATGCAGATGCGTCTGGGAGGATTCAGCCATGAAGGCAACTCTAGAAGAAATCAATCACTAAGGCAACCCGGATTGGCGGCGCATCTGTGAGGGCTCAACCTCACGTTTGTCAAAATATCACTGGCAAGTCAGTCTCGGGAATAAGACAGATGATTCTCTTAATGTTCGCGTCTTGACAAGAGCCTGAGACTATGCTAGCAACTTTCCCCAGCATCACGCCCCTGAACTAATGGCTGTCGGTGACTATCAGGCCTCAGAGCCTCCAAAAATCTTCCAAGCAAGTAACATTCTCGCCGTCCACCCTTGTTTCTCGTTGTTTCTTTCTCGTAAATGCTCATACATGAGCGGTAAGTAACTAGGAACCCATCGCGATCAGAACCCCAACGACGATGCCAATGCCCGAGACTGTGAGCCGCTGCGCTAGGCTCTGAGTCACGACGGCTGGCGTGGATGTCGCGGTGGCAGCAGGAGGGTCGTCCGTCAGAATGAGAGTCTGGAACATCGGTCCATCGGGGGTCGATGTAGCAACGGGAACAGTGACATTGCCGGGAGGAGGAACGGCAACGGGAGGGTCGTCGTACGAGGTCAGACTGGTGACATCGGGGTCGCTGGGAGTCGTCTGAGATGGTGAGGACGGGTTGGTGTATGTCTCAGTCATCGGCGCAGCCGGTGGTGCGGTAGCCACGGGAGGATCCGACTGGACACTACCGTAACTCTGCAATCCAGGGGTGCTCTTCGGCGAGACATGAACGATGACCGTCTGAACGACGACTGTGGGAGCTGAAGGAGACGCTGGCGCCAGAATAGTGGGAGTGCCCGACAGTACGGTGCAGGAAGTTGTCAGACCATCACTCCCAGGCGTGACGCTCTGGATGATGACGGTAGATCTCGTAGCCAGTTTCACGGTACGGGTGATGGGAGGGAGACGGATGGTCGAGTACGTGATATCTGAACCTGGATCATTGCCAACTGGACTAGTCGAGGCCGGGCCAGCGGGAGACGGATCAGAGGGGAGCGGCATCTCGTTACAAGCCTTGTACACATTGGCATAGCTGCAGGTCGGTGGGTTGAAAAATCCACACTGGCCAAGCGCGGTGTTGCGGTTGCACGGGTAGCTACAGAAAGCCTCGTTCACGACTGGGAAGCTCTGGATGCTGCTCCCACAACGACAACCACTATTGCGGCGGAACAATCCATCATCAGTATCAATGTTCAGTTGGGATGATAATGTAGAGAATGGCCACGCATATGCCCTGGGAGATGACTTACTCGGGGAAAGTAGCAGCGTAGTTGCGACCGGTGCAAGCAGACTGGCACTGCTCAGGGGTGTAGCCTTTACCAAAGTCGACAAAAGCGTCAAACTTGTCCGAGGTGACACTGACGCATCCGAGATACTCGAAGCCGTAGATGACATGGTTGGCCTGAGCCGCGACCATGACAGCCACCAGCAAGATGAGGAGAGGCTTCAACATGTTGAGCGGTCGTCGGGAGTAACGAGTGGAGGTAGTTTTGCCTTGAAAAAGGTCGGAAATGGGCAATGTCTTAGTGAAGGTGGAAGAAACGAGTGATGATGGACTCAGAATTGACGATAAAGAGTGTCCGAAGTGTGATCCTGTGGAGGGTTGAAGGAATTTGTGGAAGAAAAAGAGGCGAGACCTAAGGATCCGTGAGAAGAGGCAAGAACGGGGTGCCTCGATACCTTCCGCCGTCAACGTGAAATTGCGGAAGGCAAGAGTAAGGTGCAGGGAGGCGGGAATACGTGCCTTCCTCACCTTCGAACGTCGCTTACCTTCGCAGCTAAGTACTCTGGTACCGTACGAGGCAGGTAGGCACCCGTCCCACCTTGGGCAGAGGGAAAGAGGCATCTTGAGGAAAGGGCAGGGTGTCACATCACGAAGTCCAAAGGAAGAAATGGCGAAGAAGATGCCTTTGATTATCTGCTCGGTCTATGTCGTCACAGATGGATGGGCTCGACCTGAATAGCCCACACTCTTCCATGCCCAGGTTCTAACACCGCCGCAGAATGGTAGCAATCGTCAGAGCTCTCCTTGATCATCACGATACCCTCGAGGCGTGTGAAACCTCCAGAGCATTCTAGAGCCAGTTATGACGGGCAAGGAGCGGTTACGGCGCAAGAGCCAAAACACGGCATCCCGCCCGTCCGTGGCCGATCGAGTCTTCATCACCCGATTGCATACACATGAATATGTCCTCCGCCGCCAGACCTATCCTCGCTGGAGCCCATGCGGCTCGCTTGCTCTAGTCCCCGAGTCAGCAGTTTAGTGCTTCTTTCTTGACGACGCAGAGACGAGCTTCTTCTTGACGCTCTTGGGAATCTTCTCCTTGCGCTTCTCGCGCTTGGCCTCCTTGACCGCTTGCTTGTGTTGCTGTGTTGTGTTAGTAACGCTACTCCTCAAAGACCACGCGATTAGACTTGCCTTCTTCTCCTCCTTGTCCTCGTGCTTGCGCCCCCTAGGCCGGCCCTTGTCAAACTTGGAATCGTCCTCCTCGCCACTGGCCAGAGAAGCTCCGCTGCCTGACTCGTCCTCTGACGTCTCTTCCTCCTCTTCCTCTTCCTTCTCTTCGTCCTTGACAACAGTGTCGGCCAAGAGGTTCTTGTAGACAAGCTTATCACCATCACCCTGCCCGATCTTGGCGGCATCCTTCTCAATGTCGTAGACCTGTTCGAGGGTCTGGGGAATGTACTGTTTCCGGAAGACCTCGTTGTCAACCTCTTGCTCGGCAGCAGCTTCCTCGTTGTCCGCAGGTCTGTTGGTGTACAACTGCTCGATAGCCTCGCCCAGGGCGGGCTCTTCGACAGGGCCGTCTGTCGCAGAGATGAAGTCAAAGATGCTGCGGTCGCTGAGCGTATCGACGCCCTTTCTCCTGAAGAAGTCGCCGACGTTCTTGATATCCATGCGCAGGAACTCCAACGCCCGCGGGTGATCGGGCTCTACACTCTGGGATACATCAATGATATACAGCTTTCCAGCGTTGTACAGGATGTTGTACTCGCTCAAATCGGCGTGGACGAGCCTGCAAATCTGGTATATCCGGCGCATGAGGCCAAGCAGCTGAACATACAGTGCCCTCCACTGCTCTTCGACGTCGTCCCCAGTCAGATTTGCGTCTCTCAGGCGGGGATACGCCCATCCCTTCTTGTCGCCAAGGAAACCCATGGCCAGAACGTGCAGCTTCAGGCTGATGGGTTCTGGGCACGGGATGCCCGCAGCGTGTATTCTCCTTAGGTTACGGAACTCCTTCTCAGCCCACAGCTTGACCATCTTTCTGTTGCTGCTCTTGTCGAAACCCTTCTGGAAACGATGCTCGCCAGCGATGTATCTTTCGCGATCCTTGAAGACGAGAATCGAAGTCTTGTACACTTTAATGGCGCGCTGAACATTAGGACCGTCTCCCTCGGGGTGCAGAATGGCGTGGTAGACATTGGCCTCTTTTCCAGTGCTGATGGCACCGTGGATTTCACTGACGATGCCGCGGTTGATCATCTGCAGCAGGATCATGCGCGTACGCTGATCCAGAACCTGCTCACTTGTCGCGCGATCCGCCTTGTCCTTGCTCTTCTCATCGGTATCCTTGACGCTATCCAATCTGATCTTGGCAGCATGCTTGGAGAGTGCTGTGATCTGGTCGTCGACGCTCGACTTGGTATTGGCGGTCGGTCTCTGGACGTTGGAACGCGGAACGGCATTGTCGTTGCTGTTGAACATGCGCTGGCGGTTGTAGGACTTTGTCAGATCGCCAGAGTCGGCAGTCCAGTCCTCGTCGTCAATCTCTTCATCCTCGCCAAAGACGTCCTCTAAGTCATCGTCGTCTTCTTCCTGGCCTGTGGCATCGTGGGGCACGGTTCTCAGCTCGGCGGGGATGTCTTCGGTCTGTTCGTAGCCCTGGTTGGGGCGGTATGTATAGGGGGGCTCATGGGGAGCAGCGGGAGACTCGTTGGAAGCCATGTTGAGCACTTCTCCTTTGGATTGGCGGTGCTCGTGATGTAGCTTGTCTGTGGCTTGGTGCTGGCTTGAGGCTATCCAAGGTAAAAACAGTGATTGCTTAGAGCGTGGATGTTGAGTACCCCTCTGCCCCTCCATCGTCGCCCGGGATTTTTGAATTTTTTATCTTATCAGCGGTGGCGGGCGTGGCGGGGTCGTTGGACTCATTTTAGGGGGGATTGGGGTCCGTGCCCAATGATGAGTCAACATCACGGCGAGTGACTGCGGTTTCTCAGTGAATCAAGGTGAATCACCGCTGGAAATTTGGAAAGGTGAGCACTACATAGAAGCTAAAGAAATAGGCGAAGCTCGCGCCGCATCCGACAAGTGGGTCCAGTTGACGTGCGTTCCAAGTCAGGTACGAAGAGGTACGGAGTACCTGCACCTCCCGTTAATTTTCCTGGAGTAATGAGACATCTCAGGCGCTGACCGCCAACTTCATCTCGTGACAAGACAACACACCGCGAGCTGAGAAATGGACGCCCCAACTCCACCCCGACATCGCCTCGATGCGGCAAGGTGTCTGACTACCTATGCAGCATGCAACATGCATACAACGCACCTCATCATGGATC